TTCTATTTAGTTATCTAAACGACTATGTCTTGGGGCCGGGGAGATGGCTCAGTGGAATAAGCGCTTCCCTGGCAAGCCCAAGGGCCTGAGTTCAATCCCTGGTTCTGCAAAAAAAAAAAGAAAGAAATATAAATGACTATGTCCACTGGCTGCCTTTCATAATCTGAGGCAATAAGGTTTCATTGACATATTAAAAATATACAAAATCAATTCATTTCAATGTCAATTTATTTACCAAGCCATCTCCATCCATATGGGAAAAGATTACAGAGATGCATTTTAAAATATTAATCTTAATCTCGGCCTATTACTAAATTATATATTTTTTAGGTATATGGGTATATATTTTAATACACATATACATGGTGATTTGATTACCACAACCAACCTAATTAATACACTCATGACTTCATATGGCTATTGTTTCATGTATGTGGAGAAAACCTGACATCTATTTTCTTAGAAAAATTTAGGCATACAACACAGCATCATTAACAATAATCCCCACCCTGAATGTTAAGTCTCTAGAACTTTTTATGCTCTATAATTCAAATAAACAAGTGATCCCTCTCCTCTTTCTCCAAATATTTCATGTGACCTTCTTTGCAATTCAAATATCTGTTAAAATCCCATAGGAATAGCTCTTCCATCCTCATTTAAGAACTCTGTGGAGACCCAGGACCCCCTTGAAAGTCCACTCTGTGTTTCTTTCTGTCTGTGTCACTCCTTTCTACTCTCCTGCCTAGATTATCCCTGTGCCTTTTGATTCTCCCAAACATTTTCCTGCCCCAGAAGATGGCTCTTTGTTGAAAACGCAGATACTGTAGCTGTAGAGTCCTCCTGGAGAAGGAGCAGTAGGGTAGACTGCAAACCTGGAGGGCAAGCATGACGGGCCACACAGGGAGTGGTGGCATCCTGATGAGACTCCCCGCGGGGCTCTGCAGGACCCTAGCTGCCTTAGGCCTGCAGCAGGAGCAGCGCAGTCCTGGACGAGAAAAAGGTGGCAAGTAAGTGGAAAATGACAAACTGTGATATAATTTCTGTGGCATGAGTGAAAAGGGCAAGATAAAGACAGAAGAGAATGTGCAGAGACCTGACTTACCAGCGCGGGTTCACATCCTGCTGCCCTGGTCCAGATGCAGTGCTCGGAGCTCTGACTCGGTGGACCGCAGGGCAAGCGCAGCTAGTTGAAGAAGGCAGAGAGGTTCCCCTAGCGCTCCCTGTTGGTGCGTCCACAACCTGGGACTTCTGGGAAGGTCACTGCATGCGAAGGCCACACACTACCAAGGAGAGCTGACCCACCACACCGGCAGGCCCCTGTTTGTAGCTGCTTCTCCCTCCTGCTATCCAGCCCCTCCTGGAACCGACATGTAGTCTCAGAGACGCCGGCCTCCCTCTAGCAGGCCTTGTGACCTCCTGGTCCTGCTGCTGTGCTTCAGCAGTGTCTGGAGTCGGAGCCTGACAGTGGGTCCCGAGAGCAGCAGCTGCCTGTGCTGGGGACTCGGGCACATCTTGGCATCATTGTCACTTTGGGAGCAGTGAGCTCCTGGGAGGAGGCAGGCAACTGGAGCCCCTGTGGACCTCCTGGGGGCTCCGGGACAGTAACTACTCTCCCTCGTTCTCCTGTCTCCTGTGACACAGAGTTCAGGGCAGACCTGACAGCGCTGTCATCTGTGTATCAGGTGGTGGGGCATGGGGTTGCATGCATTTGTTTTAAACACAGACAACCCAGGAACAAAGTCTACAGGCTAAGAATTCTTCCAAGCTCTAGTCACCTACAAGGGAAAATCCAGGTCTGATGTCTTTCTGTATTCTTATCAACAAACAATAAGAGGGACAATGAAGTAGGAGAAATATTCCTTTCAGATAAAGGATATGAGTAGGGTCTGATCACCCAGCTATTGGGTAGACCAGAATAAGAAACTGATGAATTATTATAAAGCTATAATTTTGTACATAAGCATGTCTCTGTACACACACACACACACACACACACACACACTCACACACACACACACACACACACACACAGAGGCTACATATTCAGTAGTTTCACCTTATCTGCAGCTCCACTTTCCATAGTTACATTCACTTGTGTTCAGATACCATCTGAAGGGAAAATCAAAGAAATAAGCAGTCCACACACTGGGAATTGTGTGCCTTTCTGAGTGGTATGACAAGACTTCACACCGGCCTACCCTGTCCTACTCAACAAGAGGATTCTCCCTTTCTTTATTGCATTCTTGCCCCTGGGCTTATCCTTGCTTTTTCTGGCCACCAGAGAAGAGTGGTCCTCCACCATGGCTCTCTGCACTGATGTTTCTGTCCTGCCGCCTGCTGACCAGGAACTGATACTGCTCAAACTACAGGCCTTATGCTGTTTGG